ACAAACGTGCGCAACAATTCACAACACACAACAACACACGGACGCACAACACACAACAGGCGACACAACCACGCCACACAAGCACACACACAGCACACAGCACACACCATGACATACAACACAATCACATACAGCCGCCATATATATATATATAAACATATATATAAAATATTACATATATAAATACATATAATATATTATAACATATAATATATCATATATATATATATGTTATAGTTCAATAGATATACCGGGTAATTCACGGCTAGTGATCAATATATTATGATCTATATATATATATATTAGTAATATATATAGTATATATATATATAATATATAATATATTTGTATACACTAGGGTAATTACGCAGAGGGCAGTAATAATCAGATCTAATATTGTTATAGATAATGTAATTGCGTCTCATAAACAAAGGAATGGAAGATAAACCGACCTTCTGTCCGTTCGTTCGATGTCGTTGTTCGTTCGTTGTGTTCGTTCGTGTCGTTCGTGTCCGCGTGTCGTTGCGTTCGTATCGTGCGTGCGTTTCGTTCCGTTCGTGATCGTTCGTTCGTCGCAGTCGTATCTCGTTCGTGTTGTCGTATTCATGTCTCGTCTCGTAATCGTTGTCGTTCGTTGTTTTAGTTAGTTTCGTCATAAGTGGATTTTTCGTTCCGCTCATTCGCTCACAATGTTTTAGCATTTTTTTGCGTCGCACATGTCCTGCCAAGCGGAACATTTCACGTAACCGCGCTGGCTCTCTCTAAAATCTGTGCATGTTATTTGCAGCGGCGTGTACGAGATGCGATGCTGGGCAGTGCACGACAAGCTGTGTAAGTGGCGAACCGAGTGGCGAGCCGTCATCGGCGCGGGCCGCACTAGTACCGCTTCGACGGACCTGACGTAACGAGTTCCCGGGGCCACCGAGAGCCTGCGAAGTACGTCTAGCGAGTCACTTGACGAATTCTACGGCGATAGAAACAAACTGCGCGTGGTCCATTCTTCCCGGAAACATGCGTGGTCACCCGCTCGCTGCATCAAAGCACGCTAAATTTCATAGAGATCCTACACATCGCGCAATAGGATTGGCTCCGGGGTAAGTTGTTGCGCATGGTATGACGCTAGTGTAAACGTGGCGTAAATGCTGATCGTTAATGCTCAGAGGTTTGTGGAGATGGCTACTATGTTGCCAATGGTAAAATACTGGTGTGATGCTGATTAATAATATTCAATGAGCGGTACGGATTGTGTCCGTGGCTATGGTAGATATTATTAATCTCTATGGAATAAATCTGGATGGCTGGGTGCGACGAGGTTGTTGACATGGCTACGCGCTAAAGTTAATGGCAGTAAACAGATATCCATGAACTCTGTACGAACATCGGCTATCTCAAGTTGTATATTCCGATCGGCAGTCCGATTTAGTTTTCACCGACTAGTTGAGCACACAGCATCAATTGTATCTGGCGAGCAGTATTGAATAACGATACGTGCATATGTCCTGTCCTATCGCTTGAGATATCGTCGTTTTATGCCTTGCAGTCGAATCTTCGGCTAAATATCTTGAGTGGGGTGCAAGCTTAAAGAGCACTCAAGATGAGAGGAGGGTTTATTCTCAAAAAAACTGAACGCCTCACTAACAATCGGATCTTTACTCGGACTCTATGCAGGGTCCGGTGACGGTGAACGTGAGCAATATGATAGCGGGGTGGCCGTCACCCGCAACCAAGAATGTCCCACATGCAAACAAAGTGTCCAGGCAATGATGACTTCTTGTAGAAAGATTCGGTTGTCGGGCCATCTACGTTATCGAACCGAACTTTGCTGTCGAATCGTACATCACTTCACCGCCTCATTCTACTTCACTCAATCAGGTAAAGCGTTTCAAAACTCACCTTTTACTCACGTACGTGGCCAGCGTTATCACGATCTGTTGTTTAAAAAGCTTACAATGAAAGCGCGATACAAAACCGTTACCCTTATCACGCGGCCGCCTGCAAAAGGAAACAATCTGTGCAATCGATTTCCAAGAAAAGAGCTGATAAGATCGAGTCCGATTAATGCAATAAATCAAAAAAACATCGATTACAGTCAAACGAACAATGAAAACTGTACGTTAAAATGAGACAATGGGAGAGGACACACGATTCTGCGGCAAAACGCGTTGTAAAGCGTTTCTCCTGACCAAGCCTCTCCCCGTCACAAAGGCACGCACCGTCTAAATAATTAACCGTTTAGATATTTAATATTTGAGAATCGAAATTAATTTAATTAATTAATTAATTAAGTAGATAAATCATATTAATTTAATTAATTAATTTAATTTAACTACGAATTTAATTTATGAAATTTAATAATATTGACGTGAATTATTCACAATTTAAAACCTAGTAATTGCGTGTATGTGCGAGGACTCTCGCGGTACCTATTCAACTGGGAACGGCAGAATGACGACGCTGAACTGCGCCTGACGGTATATCAAATCCAAACGTTTTACGAGTTTGATTGCCAGAGCTTTTACAAATGGACCCGCAGTTGGCGAGGGATTCGCATGCACCATCAGTTCATGAACCCATGTGGAACGAATCAGTCCTGGTAAGTGAACATTCATTTCGCGTGATGATACGTCCATGTGGAACGAACAGTCTGGTAAGTTGACATCATTACTGGTTGGTGAATCCATAGTGGAACGAACAGTCTGTGTAAGTGAAATGCATTCGGTGATTGAGCCGCATTGAGTGAACAAACAGTCAGGTAAAGTAAAGCATGTATTCGGTGAATAGAACCCATGGTAACGAACTAAGTCTGGGTATAAGTGAACAAACATTCGGGGTGTCAACCGGAGGTTAGGGTGAGCTGCGACAATAGGCTGTGGATATTGACTAAATATTCGGTAGGATCGATTGAAAAGTTATTAGAGCGCGATAGTAGATGATGAGTTAAGGGGCAATGATTCAAGTGAATTACGGTGAGCAGCAGGAATGTGCGTGTGTGTGTCGTGGTGTATGTGTGTATGTGCGTGGCCGTGTGTGTGCGGTGTGTATGCTGCGCCGTGTGTGGGTGCGCTGGCGCCAACTGTGTGCCGTTGCGTGTGTGTGCAGCGTGTGTCGAGGACGCGCGTAGGTCGTGGTGTAGTGCGCGTGTGTGGTGTGTGTCGTGCGCGCACGGAGTGTGTGCGTGTGTGTGTATGTGCGCGGTGTGGTGTTGTGTGCGCGCACAGCGTGTGTGCGTGGCGTGTGTGTGCGAAGTGTGTGTGGTTGTGTGGTGTGTGTGTGTTGTGTCGTGCGTGTGCGGTGCGTGTGCGTGTGCGTGGAATAACATACAAAAAGCAGCATACACTGTATTTGTCTGATGATTGTCGGCACACTATAGGACCGGCGCCACAGCGCGGAACTTGTTGTGTCCGACCATCGATGAACCCGACAGGCCCGTTTGACCGATCCTGATCATCAAGTGGTTAACGCCGAAACATGTAATTGTTCTAGAGAGTGGACACACGAAAACATCTCTGTGCATACATGATCGCATCTCTCATGTCCGAACTCTTTCTGCAATCTGCTGCTCCCGTACGCTTACACCTGCGCTCAGGCAGGCTCCCATGTATGACTGGACAATCGACTCTGCTGCCGGACGTAAGACGAACTGCAGAGTGAGTCATTGTGTTATCAGGGCCTTAATACTGACTCGCTTATATAAAAAGGTTCGCTGCGAGCAGCAATGCGTTGCTGGCAGCGCGAAAGATATTATCGGAATCGATTCTGTAAGAATAGTAATAGATGTTTATACGCAATTAGAGTGAACAGTGTTAAAATCAGTTGCGATTCACATTCTCTTTCACAGCACCATACACCGCGCGCGCGCACACATACCACACATCAACAACACAACACACACAACAACACAAAGCACGACACACACACACACACACACACACACACACACACACACACAGGGGTGCAGTGGCCACACAGCGCACACACAGCAACCTATCGCAGGGACGGAGCGCGGGCGACGCGGCGGGCCCGGGGCGCCCCACACCACGCACGCACGACGGACCACATGCGCCACGCGTACGGACACGCGCAGCTTCACAACGCGCGCTGGCACACAGGCCCAGCCACAGCCACACCATATATATATATAGTATATATACGTTTTATTTATGGGTATTATCACGTGGCGTGTAGGTAGGGCCACGTAAGGCTGTCCCGGATACGGTCAAAGGAGTCTGCAAGACGTCACTCGTCTTGTGACTGGCAGGGGAATTTTTGCAGTGGCTCGTCTTGTGAAGTCGCTTTTAGCTCTGAATGGTAGTGGTAGATGCTATAATATATCATATACCATATATGTAAATATATATATATATATATATATATATATACTATATATATATATATATTAAGTATAGCACACACATACAAGATAGTATATATATGCTACCCTTTCTTTTATATATTACAGGAGCACTTCGTTAGTTAATTTATATATAGGACTATTAGTCACGAGTTCGTTAAGTTGTAAGTATAAGATGATGATATCGATATAAGGGTCAGAAATGCGAAGAACGCTTATATTATATATTCCTGGCGACAGAGGCCTGCATGGAAATCTATAAGTAAGACGACTTCGAGATGCATTCCTCGCAGCGGCTGGGCAAATGGTTTAGGCACCGGACCGAGAATCCCAGCCCGAGAGCTCAATAGGTGATCGGCAGCTGCTAAAAAACTGGTCAGATTATTATTCCTACGCACCTCTCATGCATGTATGTAACTACAGCTAGATGTTATGATACAAGCCACCGAACAATTTTGGTATTGTTGAAATAATTTGCGTCCAGCCAGCGTGCTTTTCGGTCATCAGAGGCATTTGCCATATGCACAGGGGACATTGGTACAGCTGAAAAGTCGCAAAACGTTACTTCGGGAGTGTCCAGCGCTCCGATGTTGCGCGATTAAGATAACGACTTAATAAACCAATTAAACCGTAATTGTGTGTAAAGACGATGTTTGCCTTCTATGGATACTCATGTAGTGTCCCCAGCTCGTGCATCAATGGCGTGCTGGAGTGCTCTGACCATGGAAAGGATGCACGAAGCTACCTTGCCCACGGAACAGGTGTGGTGATCAATACGCGTCTCCGTGCCGCAAAGACTTTGTACGAACACGGGATCAACACAACATGTGCACAATCCACGTACGAAAGGCTGCTCATCGCCCTGAGGGGTCTTGTCTATCTCTGATGATGCGTGAGTAGAGTTACACAGTAATGAACGGGATGTTGCATATATTTATACGATGTTTTGGCTCATTATATACACTCCTGGTAATATCAATATCAGCTTTTGGAAAAGCGCGTCCGTTGCTTTTTAGACGAAATAGCACCCAATTCATATCACAAAGATCCAGAGTGGCGTATTATCTTTTGTACAAAAAACAATTTCAAACGTCATAGTTCGAGGAAAAATTTAATTAAACATTTGGTACTTAATATAATACCTTAATTTATAGGCAACGGTAATTTCATATTTAATGATAATAATATTGATTTTACAATTTAATTTGCAAATAAATAATATTTTTATCAAATAAGTAATTATTTATATTTAATGGATAAAATTTATCGATTTTTTGATAAATTGCGTTAAATACGTAATAAACATTTTTGGTAAGATGAATTAAATGAGCGCAATCAGACATCGGCAACGAATGTTTTCAGGAATCAACGCGATTATATTAGCGCCGAAAATATTGTCAGATGCCACGGGAAACAGATTTCACCTCGGTAGGAGACAATAATGCAACACCATGTAAGATCAAAATTAATAACTATAAAGTGATTAAACAAATAATAATAAATTATTAATCAAATTAAAATAATTCCACTGGGTAAGTAGTTTTGGCGTAAAAAAAATCAGCATGTGCACATTTGAAAGAAGTCTCTCTACACAGCATATTATTAGCTACTCGCCAGGATTAATGCATATTTACATGTATATTAACTACATCAATTGCACACTGCGTTATCATACTAAATCGCTTGTGTAATTTCCTCTCATCAGTACTATTAGCTCAGGGGAGATAAACAGCGGTGGCAAATATTCGGTAATTATGATATACACTATCAGCCTGCGACGTGTCTCTAGCATCTCATGACAAATACGACATAACGACATAAACGCTCTCCTACGACAACTATTTGTCATAGGAAGATTCCTTCCTAGACAAATATTGGGCGGAGTCAACTTTCGTTCCGCTTATGACCAGCTGAAATTACTGCGGGCGCCTCTCTATGATGCGCCAAGCACATTGTCCGCCGGTTTCCCGCCGCCTTGCTCGAACCGCAGCGGGGTGCACCGGCCTGGCTTCGCAGCACGGCGCGCCGAAGCGGGGAGTACCCGTGCGAAGCGCAAGCGGGAAGACAGAGAGCCAACGCAGCAGCAGCCGCGGCGTGAGCAAAGGAGAAATGCAAGTTTCGCCAAGTTAGGAGTACAGTAAGAGCCACGCCCAGTAGAGAGCCCTAGCTGGTTAAGCGCTGGAGCGAAGGAGAATATGCATAGTTTTTCGCACAAGTTAGGAAAACAGAACAGAAGCCACGCACGTTAGGGCACAAGCGCGCGTGAGAGAGAGAAAGCGTCGCTCGTGTAGCAAGAGCCACGTCAGCCAAGAAGCGCGCGTGAGCGAGGGAGAGCTAGAAGTATACAGTGGACACGTTGTACGCGCCGAGCGAGGTCGGACAAAGCTCAGCGAAGGGGAAGAAGGAGGAGGAGAAAAGAGGAGACGAAAGGCGCAGAGCATCCACCGTGGGTCGACGAACGACGACCAGAGAGGGACAGAGAGGAGGAGGAAGAAGAGAGGCAGAGAGAGAGAGTGAGACAAACGCACAGCGTGATTTACGTTGGTTCGTTTACTTTGCGTTTGATGTATATTCTGTAACGGTAGTGTAGCGGTATCCGCAGTTGATTGTATAATTCTGGAACAATACGCCGTAGCGGTAGCCGGCAGTTGATTGTATGATTCTAGTAACAATACGTGTGAGGTAGCGCGCCGCGCGAAAAGACCGTACGAGTGCGCGGTGCTGAATCTGATATTAGCGCGTTCACACACAGAAGAAACCGGCGATGCTAATGGCGATGAAATACCGAAGATAATTGTGTCGTTGTTCAACACAACGGAAATATCTCGCTAATCGCCGAGCGGATAATTCTATATCCGAACTGCGCAGCTCACTGTGACATATGCCGACTCAGTGCGCTCCACTCGTTGATGGTAAAAACCAGCAGTTTATGCTACTTCGCTAGCCGCCGGCCATCTTTAAACTCCATAAACGCGTATTCCAATCTGAGGCGCTAACGCGTATCCGAGCGGTTGCGCGCCATTCCTAACTGGACAGAATTCTGTCCACGTAGAATATGCCGTTACCGGTCCCAATCTGAGTATGCGATGTGGAGCGAAGTACAGTCTAATAATCGCGCTATCCAAATAATCGAGCAGTCAAAATGCGGACTTGGACGCGATGCGAATGCTGGCGATTATTAGTGAGCTATTATTGCGTTCACACTTGTAATAAATCCTGTAATTTCGACTCGCGATGCAAAAACCGGATTTGCATCCCGCTATTCGCGCCAGTGTGAACTGCGCCCTATTGATTGTTGGTGTTGTTCATCTAGAGGCTGATATTGAATTGTTGGTTGTGGTTCATCTGATAATTGATATTTGATTTTGACGGTGATTGTCGCGGTGTGGATATTGATATCGAGGTGTCGGTGGTGTGTCACAAATACATGCTAGCGCCTTGACATTTCCCCCATCGTTTCCCTGGTTTCTTTTGCGCGTGACAGCGGCGCGGCGTGATCATACAAAAACGAGTATGCACAACTACGTACACGTTGACTCACATACAACAATATTTGTCATAGGAAGAATCTTCCTATGACAAATAGTGTCATAGGAGAGCGTATATGCGTATGTCGTATTTGTCATAGATGCTAGCAGAACAGGCTGAAACTATGTAGTTGGGAAACGAGCCCTTTTACGTAAACCGCGCAGTAGTAAAACAGCAACCGCATTTTACGATGAGACAGTTGATAGCTGGGACGATCGCGGGGATGTTTATGTCGTGAGCACTACGTTATGATGAAAAACGCTACAAATCAGGATACTGGGTGTGGTACAACCACAGACTATAGGAATACCGTTAGTATGTGGTACAATTCAGGTAAATGAGCCAGAGCGAGAGCGCCATCTGTCGTGGAGTTTGTGCGTATTTATCCGTCTCAGTGAATAGCACTAGCGGATGCTGCAGCATTGTAGTGGTATACTCAGAAGGGGTGATCGTAACGCTGTTGCCATGGTAACTGGTCTGTTCCCTGACTAGTTAGATAGTTTAGTTCCGTGGATAGTTTAGATAGATAGCTAGATAGCTAGATAGATAGATAGATAGATAGATAGATAGATAGATAGATAGATAGATAGATAGATAGATAGATAGATAGATAGATAGATAGATAGATAGATAGATAGATAGATAGATAGATAGATAGATAGATAGATAGATAGATAAAAGATAAAAAGGCTAATCTTGTGTGTGTGTTTTTTTGACATCGCTTTTTTCCGTGAAGACTTGTCAAATCAATTGTGAGGAATTTACCTAAGAGAAGATTGCTATCATAAAATTCTGTTTTTAAAGGTTCTAATTGAAGATACGCGCCAATCGATGATAATCTATAATTGAAATAATGATACGCTATCGATAATACGCAAATGATGATATGCTATTCATGATATGCTATTCATGATAAACAATTAATATTGGCAATACATGACAGATAACCGTTGATTGCCCACCCATCATAAACAACCGATAAAAGACGATCAATTATCGATTATCGATTTCTTCTACAGGCGAATGTCACGCGGTCGGCGACCCGCATTACATCTCTTTCGATGGGGCCTACTTCGATTTCCAAGGAGACTGCAGTTACATCCTCGCACAGGACTCATCCGTCAATCACACGTTCGATGTCATCGCCTCGAACGTGATGTGCGGAAGTTCGGGAGTGACGTGTACAAAGGATGTAGAGATTGTTCTTCAGCAGTCGATCAATATTCGTCTGCTGCGTGGCCGTCACGTGAGTCTCCCGTCGACGTTTACACGCTCCTTATACAGAGTCGAGCGAGATGTGGAGCGAAAACGTCAAAGAGCAAGCGAGAGGGAGAGAGAGAGAGAGAGAGAGAGAGAGAGAGAGAAGAGAGAGAGAGAGAGAGAGAGAGAGAGAAGAGAGAGAGAGAGAGAGAGAGAAGAGAGCAGAAGAGAGCACGAGAGGAGAGAGGGAGAGGAAAAGAGAGAGAGGAGATAAGAAGAACGAGAGAGAGAGAGAAGAGAGAACAGAGAGTTGCAGAGAAAAGATATGAGAAAAAGCGTGAGAATTGTTAGTAATCAACTCTCCTCTTTCTTTTCGTCTCCTCTCTTTCTCTTCTCTCTCTCTCTCCTTCCCCTCTTTCTTTCGCTAAATCTATCTTCTCTTCTCTCTCTTTTATCCGTCTCTCGCGTTTTATTTCCTCTTCACGGCTCTCCGCTCTCCTTTTCTGCGTCCAATTTCTTTTGCGCTCCCTCGCCTCTCCCTACCCTTTCCGCTCGCCGGCCTTCCATAATCTCCTCTCCTCATTCTGATTTCTAATATTTTTCCTCGTATATGGACGTGTGTGGATCGCGGTGTGCCGTGCGTGCGGTTGTCGTGTTGCGTCGCGTGGTCTACACCTGTAATGTGTGTTTCGTTGCTACCAACTGCGTGTGGCAGTTAGAATATCACTTCGCGTAGGTGGCAATACCGGTGGTTCTGTTGGGTACACCGTTGACCGAATATGAACGCGGCCATATTTTCTGACTCTCTAGTTTGCTTTAAAACACATTCATTATACTATATGAATTGAACTTAGCGACCACGGTTAAATATATATACATTCATATTCATATATAATTTATATAATGTATATAGTGTTGTGTTGTATATATGTATATTATATGTACTTATTTATCATGTACTAATACTTGTTTAGGTGACTCGTGAATGACATCGCTGTCCCACCTACTAAGATTTAACGAGCCCAATGGGCTAAACATCACCAAGATCTGGCTTTCACCGTGGTTTGTCAACGACCTCATTCGTCCTCATAGTCATGTGGATGGAGGTACATACACCTAAAGAATGAAATAATATATTATATATATCGTTTTTTCAATATACGTTTCAATGGCAATTGCGCACTACCGTAGCTGCCGGTTTATATGTCTTAGGGTCAAGTTAAAAGTTCGTTGAAATGAAATACATCAGCAAATCACCTTGCTTTAATATCTTAAGACTCTATACGCGATGACACATCGGCGCTTTATACACATCTTCATTCAATCATCGCCAGACGGACAATAAATTATGGGCGATAATTATATATGATAATATTGATAATGAGGAAGACGAAACCCTAGAGATCCGTAGTCATAAAAATACACAGTAAAGAAAACGATGATGTAAAGGAAAAAAAATGAACCGTACTTATTACGTCGATTGTTGTTCGTCGAATAGACCTAGAGTTCTATCATCTTGGACCAGTGCATAAGCACGGGAACTGCTTGTGGCGGAACACGACGGAATGGGACAACGACTTCACCTCCGGGCGGAGCGGAGTCGTCGACAACAAAGGCGCAACCTGTTCGCCGACGGCAACTCGTGAAAATGTCGGCGCACTTGGGCGCTGACGGGTGGACCACAGGTCATGCACCAGAAACGCCCACGTCGGGTGGAGTAGGGGTGAAGTTTTAAATTATTAAATTAAAAAATTATTTATAGAATTATCAAAAAGAAAAATCATATTTATTATATTAATTTTTTATATTCCATTTAAATTTATGCAAGCTCTTTATGGCCGCAGACATTCAGAGCTGTTCTCAATAATTATAACGCTGCTTTTTGTGATCGATTTGAAATTCTTGTCTAACCATAGATGTTCGCGGGTCTAACATTTGTTGTAAAGAACAGTAGAAGCAGTCCGGTAACTCGCAACAGAATCAAATTTAAATTAAGGTTAAATTTAAATAGATATAACGCGGTTATCCGACGCGTACTCGGCGTATATATACGTTATAACGGATTGTGTATCATATACAACTTATCAAAGCGTATATACACGTGATATTTTCTTTGAAGCATATATAGTCTTAACATTATTTTATTATAGGCTCTCAGTTATTTATATTTCCCGCTCTTGAAACATAATATACTCCTCCTAGAAAATCTCAGTAATGTAGTAGTCGGTACACATTTTGTCTGTCGTAATTTGAGGATCGGCCCGCTCTCTATGGCTTAGCAGATCATGTAACTTTCATCTACAATGACATATTCGAGGCGGCGTTCGGCAGCTCTGGGTGACATCTTGGTCGAGCAATAACATCCAACTGCATTTACACGCTTGTGGGTACGCTATGTATGTACACAGCGCAGAATGCTGCATTCTAACGTTGCTAAGGTGATATGCGTGCTACAGCATACTCCGAAAAACTGTCTCCCTCCGCTAATTTGTTCTAAAGTTGTACTAAGGATGTGTCGCTAACGCGAAGACAAGATTGTCCACTACCGATTTGTACCCTGATGATTGTTACTAACCGAACGATTTCAACTAAGATGTGTACCTAAGCCGAGCCCACACTCCCTCCTCGGCGAAAATTGCACCTACAGATTTTGTACGCTAGGATTGTTCGGTAACGGGACAAGATTGTTCACTAACAGATTGTGAGTGATGTGATTACCACGCAGCGCTGTTAGACGACGGCGCGCACATTTCTCTCGTCAGACTGTTCCAAGGGAGGAGATTGCGAGTGGTCTTTGCACTGCGCTTGCCTCGTTTGCCGATAGCTGTTCGCAGCCGGGTTACCCTGCGCTGCGAGATTCCCAAGACCTTATGCGCGTAAATATGCACGCGCTGTCTTTACCATATATCAAGCAAGCGCCGTTGGGTCGCAAATTATAAATTATTACATATATATAATATATTATATATAACATATAGATACGTAATATATATAATCTCTATTACAGACATTTGTCGTGTTAACGGTTACGAATTTGAGCGCTAATATACTTCGCAAAAATATGGTTGACAGTAGCTTTCGTTGTTTCTACCCCTAAAATTATTGTTATCGATTACATTACATCATCATAATATATTATTTTCGACGTTATCTACTTTCTTTTCTTGTTGGTGAGTTTCTCTCGTAGTAATATCGTATCGCAAAAAACGGCTTTTTTTATGAATATTTGTACTTCTTCTGACCGAATCGCATTTTAGACTAGGTATTATACACAAACGTATGAGGTGGCAGAAGTACTGTATACTATATATAATAAAGTAGTGTAAAGTGTATTTGTATTATCGCTTTGCTGGGTGTGTTCCTAAAATGCGTACATGTGGAAAATGGCTTATAATATTATATATATATCATATTATGCTTTATATATGCTGGATTATTCGCACGCCTATTCCGGATATAATATATGATATATATATATACTACGATCTATATGTATAGATATATATCCCGGATTATGTTTCTCAGCAGCTTATACAGTGCGAAATGGCTCACGGTATCAGCATGCGGGCCATGTCCAAGAAACCTGTCAGAACATGAGGAGACAACACCGGACCGGAATGCTAACCAACACACGCGGATGTCGTAGATATGCTTCTTTCCTCCCGGCTACATAGCAACACGGTGAGTCCAACTGCGATGGATCAGGGATATTATGTATAAATATAAGGATCATATTCCTAATATCGAAATGTTTACTAGATTAGCGTATACTTCGCGATACGATTGATTGAGATACTTGCGTATATACTCTCGAACGCGCGTCAAACAAAAATCACCGGAGGCGAAAGGTACCAATTCCACTGACAGCAGAATGCGTCTAATAGAAATCCTTAGTTTTGTTCTTTATAGGCATCGCTTTACGCTGGCTATTCCGACAGTTTACCGTGAAAAAATGGAATATTATATTTTAAACTGTGGAAAAGCTAGCGAGCTCACCCTAGTTGAACAGACTATGTAAATAAACGCTAATTATGTGGCATGCATCCTGATACGACAGGTCGTAATATGAAGTTGTGTTGTTACTTGGACAGCGAAAACCGCTGCATACCGGCGGACAAATGCCGTGCTAATCACATGGGGCGTTCAGTTACGAACAAGGGACAGGTACTAGGCGAAACTGCCAAGAACTGGTTAGTGAGTCACTTGGCTGGTTTTCTCTAATAACAAAAAAGGCACGCATATGCCGGCACGCTATGTGAAAGTTGTTGCTGCGTTATATATATTTATAATAATATATATATATATAATATTAATATATATATTATAATGACACAAGCTCGAAAGAGATGACTACATACGCGTTGCTGCCGGCCTGTGGTTACGCTCACAAAAACTGCACTTTAACGAAGAACGTCAAGAAACACGCCTGTTTAAACAGTTGATTTTCGCCAATCGCATACTATTCACTGTATTTCTCTAATTCCTACTGCCTTCGTTTCATGCCAAGTTCAATGCGATAGTGGACGTCAACTGCAGCAGCTAACTAAGCTGACTGCATAAGCGAGTAACACTTGCGCCACTGGGAATTTCCTGGTGATAACAAGAGTGTAATTCTCTCGCCGGGTGGCAATGCGCCGGGGGCAGATGATGCGCGGACGGGATCCGATGAAAGCTGGTGGCGGGTAAGCCACAGATGTCATAGATGCAAACAAAACTCGGAGGAATGAAACAGGCAACATTTTTTATTTGGGGGATAAACAGGTATAATTAATAATGCAAGAAGTAATATACAGTCGTTGGTTCCTATATATATAAAGTTTTAAAGGTTTTAGGGCTTGAATTTGATGTATTGTTAAATAGTGTGTTAATATAGAACGCCATCTTGTTTGACAGTCCCATATGTGTGCGTTTCTAACGTGGATGTCAAAGTTGAGTTTGGCGGCGATGAGCAGCGATACGTACTGAGATGGCAGGCGAGAAGATCATATCGAGAATGCGTTTTATACCATAAGCAACGATGCTACACAATATTCACCTCTTTACAGGCGCGCAGCAGCCCGCAGCACGACCGCCGCCCGATCACGCACGGGTCACGCTCATAACATCCACACACCGGGTCCAACGCACGCACTCAGCCCACGCACACACGCACTTCGCGTACGAGTGAAAGAGATGGTGATTTACGAATAGCTTTATTAGCTATTATAGTTATAGTTATTATGAAACAAATGAATTTTTATTGGCAATTTTAAGCTGAAAAGAGCTGTTCACTGCAGATCAATGATCAATGCGCTAAACGGGGAATAGTATATACGCAACTAAACACTGTGACGGCATACCCGACTGCTGGATAGTACCGTGATATAGGCTGTCGTAAGTATATCATAATATAAGCACTCTGTCATGACTCATCTACCGTAACAAATTACACTAAAAGACGAGCAATTTTGCGTGATTAAGAAGTTAATTATATTTAACGACGCTACGCATTATAAATATGAATATGAGTCATGGATGAATGAGATTAATGAAATAAAGAATGGATAAATCATATAATAACATATGATTACATGACAAATAAAGGTAGATACAACTAGGATTGCGTATTAGGAGTATGATTAGGCTAGTACTAGTAGGCCTATTCAGTTATTATTCTGATACGCGATAATAATTGTGACCGCATTATTAGAACCAGTCACGAGGTACGCGAGGGGGCAGATTAGAAAGGATTTTTTAATACTATTACGAAATATTTTGAAGATTTTTGACGAAAGGAACCTTACACGAAGTGAGAAATAATTTTTTTTATACTATTCACGAAGATTTAAATAAACGCTATTTTTGCTCGCAGCGCCAACCTCCTGCAGCAAGAAGAGTATACCGTGCGCCTAGTGACAATCGTTATTCCTCTTAGCTAGTGTTGCGACGTGAATAATGACTGTGGGACGGCACCTGACAGCGCGACGAGAAAACTGGCGGTATGTAATCTTACAGTGTCGCGAATATTGACATATTCGGCATTGCTTGAAAGTTATTACACCAGGCGAATTCAAACACGCGTTTCGATCAATGAACGCTGGAGATAGACGTCTGATGATACGACGCTGAGATGACGCTGAGATACACAGCCGGATAGACAGATGTGCGAACGTCGGATTGCGAACGAAACTCGCAGACGAGACCGATTAGATAGACAGAATAATATATTTTTTTTGCGTGGGGCGAATTGACCTGCTCTGTTTAATAACTGTACGTATAATCTAGACGCGCTGCTACTAAACGCATTAAACCATGCAGGCGCAACACAAGCGTCCTAGACCTTTCATAATTTCCTAAATAATAATCTAATAATAAAGATAAATAGTTTATATGATTTAATATATGTAAATAATCGATTGCGTTACGTTCAGTGGGAGTGCGAATGATGTCGTGAATATGACTGTGGAGGAAGGGATTCTGCATTCCACTCTTCTTCGTTGTGCGACCGGCATGATGATGTGGAGATATGTCAGACGATTCGGATTGCATGTAATTAGAATTATCAGTACTCTATTATACTATTAGTATTCACTACTACTACTACACAAACTCTCTTCCTACTTATTATCCCATCAATGGCATTGTTAAAGGTCATGGATTTAATGCTGTAATCATCGTCACATTGTGTTAAATAAATAAATAAACTAATAATAATACATAATAATAAATACTAATTATTAACTAACTAATCTAATAACTAAATAAATAAATAAATAAATACCTAACATAAGTAAATAATAAAATAAATAAAATTACTAAAAGCATTGAGCTTCTAATATTTGCGCAATTGAAATATACGTACATGCGTACACATTCGGTCATTAATTCACATAGACTACATGATTCTACGCTCGCCGTGTATATATAGCGACTAGTTATGATTGTTGAATTGTACCTGCAATGTACCTGTGAAAATTAGACTTGTGATTCTCAGGTATAGGCGCGCGGTGGCTTACTAACATTCGCGTTCCGCCGCATGTGAATCGCATGCGTCCTGAGGCCGCTGACGCGTACCAGCGTGCTTCGTCATGGCTTCGGCGAGTGGCGTGACGTCATTATACTGCACAGATAGTTCGTGCATGATGAATTCTGCGCGCTGGCGTATTTCAGGGTGCGTCTGCCCATCCTCTTCAGTTCAACGTGTGGTGATTGCACGTGTATACGTCTGTGGATGTATGGCGATGGATTCTCAGATGCGATACGGATGCGGACGATTGTAAAGTAAAGAGGCATGTTAGACTGGTAGGAGGCCTAACCCACTGTCTCTTTACTAATTATAACTACTATTGTTGTTATTATTTATGTCCATCGTTCACCCTCGTTTAACATAATTTAATAGAATAAGGTTCAACGCGGTATTTGAACGACGAGTACATTTCATATAATTGTAAGATATTACTCGCTCTCCCTTGTTTCAGCGTGTGCTGGCATACGAATATTTGATCAGCATATCTGTATATCAGATATAGCTGTTGTGAAAATTATGACAATTTAGCAACGTATTGCGAAGCAATGATAAAGGTGCGTATACGTTAGCAAGACTGCGTATACGTTAGGCAAAGACGTGCGTATACGTTAGCAAAGACTTGCGTATACGTTAGCAACGACTGACCGTGGCGTATCGTTAGCAAAGACTCGCGTATAACGTTAGCAAAGACTGCGTATACGTTACGAAGACTGCTTATAACGTTAGCAAAAGACCTGCGTATACGTAGCAAAGACTGCGTATACGTTAGAAAAGACTGCGTAATACGTTCCGCAGATAGACTGCGTATACGTTAGCAAAGACTCGCGTTCCGTTACAAGACTGCGTATCACGTTAGGCAAAGACTGGTATACTACAAAGACCTGGTATACGTTACAAGACTGCGATACGTTAGCAAAGACTGGCGTATACGTTAGCAAAGAACTGCGATACGTTAGCAAAGACTGGCGTTACGTTAGCAAAAGACTGCGTATACGTTGCAAAGACTGGCGTATACGTTACAAAGCTGCGTATACGTTAGCAAATGACTGGGCGTATACGTTAGCAAAGACTGCGATACGTTAGCAAAGACTGCGTTACGTTAGCAAATAGACTGCGTTTACGTTTAGCAAAGACTGCGTATACGTTAGCAAAAGACTGCGTTACTTAGCAAGACTGCGTATACGTTAGCAAAGACTGCGTATGACGTTAGCAAAGACTGCGTATACTTAGCTAAGGATAAATCTACAATAGATATTAACGCGCGCTGTTTCTGAGCACGCTATATAATACGATACAGAAAGACAGCCGAATGACGAGTGGCGGCGCTGTGATGCAGTATGCCTGTATGTGCGCATAATTCTGTCGGTCTGGCCACGCCATCGACGTGTGCCGATTTGTTTTTTTATAAAGAACGCTCGATTGTCTTTATCAGGTCGTGCTCGCTAGGACAATTCACATGTGTAAACGGAAATGCGTGAACGAACCACCAACAGGTGCGACAACGTGAACGACTTGTGCGGATGCAGCGATGAAAGAAGATTGCGTGTGTGAGTATACAACAGTCAGAATACTAAGTAGATCGGTGGTATAAATCACAGAATGCGTGAAATGGACACTCGCCGTGCGACCGTTATTACCGCCCCACATAGGATTTGAACGAGCCTGCTAGCGGAGACCGCCGTGAATTTATAATGTTTCCGATTCGTATTTTATATCGATTAATAATTGAAGTCGGTTCATTTCGGCATTTTATAAATTTTTATTTCGCCGACATTAATTAATTGGTTATTTACCGCAGATTTATGGAGGCCTCGTGAGTCAACTTCTCCCACTATTGTGGTTTGTTTGTTTGTCCGCTGTGAGGTGGATGTTGTTTGTCCGCTGTGAGGTGGATGTTGTTTGT